GAAGACCCAGGTGGCAGAGAAGGAGGCTATGTCCTTGAAGTGCTTGCGGACGTCCCTGGAGGCTCTCCTGAGCAGAGCAGGGTCCGTGCTCTCCCGGTAGTAGACGTCCCCCCGGATCCCGTTGTGCACGTCGGCCCAGAAGGGCGCCACGAAGGCGCGGCCGTCGGCCAGCGGGAAGGCCTCGGGGGTGAACTGGCTGACCAGGGCGTTGAAGGAGATCACCCCGTTGTTGTTCACCTGCACCGGGAGACCCACGTGGCCTGAGCGAGGCTTTGCAGGCGGCAGAAACCCCGCTGGTTAATCAGAGGACTGGGGGGAGAGGATTTCAGGCTGACTTAGGTGCCTGCGCAAGGTTGTGATGATGTCCAAGCCCAGCCTGGAGGAGTTGGTGTCCCCTTAGCCAGGCTTTTGCTGTGCCACCACCTGAGAGCAGCAGCACTTTGTCTTCATCTCGGGCACCCAGAAAACTGCTGCCCCTCTCCCCCCTCCCCAGCAGGTCTCTGCATTTTCTTGTTTCTTGTCATGTAACAGGAAAAATGTCCCTCGTGTCAAGCCCTTAGCTTTGCTGTACCATTTAATCACCTACAAAGAAAATTTACTGCCTTTTATATTCCTTTCCCATGGACATTATCCCATTAAATATACCTTTGACTTTCTTAATCATAAAACCTATCAGTTCATGAAATCTAAGAACTTGTCAGGTAGTTGCTAATAAATCTTCCAGTTCCTGATGACAGGGAGAGAGCATTTAAAATACAGCCTAATGGCAAGGAAAAGAGTAAAGGGAAGGTCTGTTTCTCCACTTACATAAATGCTTCTGTAGGGGACTCCAAAATAGATGAAAGGGACAGAGATCTTGATCTCGGGAGAGCTTCCATCATCGACTTTGGGTGTTCTCGTGTCGTTCTGCCAGAATGGATACAGACTCCCCATGGTGTGAGCTGGAAGGAGATAGAGAGAAGACAGTCCTTCAGGCAATGTCTGCTGTCATCTCATGCCCTGTTTCCAGCGTGCTCCTCACAGAGGAAATGGGGATTTTTCTGCTTTTTCCCCTCCCCTCTCCCCATTTTGGTGTAGGAAAGCCATGCCCTGTCCTCACAACATTCAATCTCGGCCCACACGAGCCCACAGGATCTGAACTATCCCAGCTCTGTTCACCCTGATTCAGGACATGCTTTTACTTCCTGGGCTTTCAGGGGCCTCAGATGGGGCCAGTTTGCCTGATTTCCTGAGACCTCTGCATGGTCTGAGTGCCCCTCTGGACATAAAGGGAGGTGGCACGTGATGGTTTCCAAGCCACAAGCCTGGTTTCACAGATATATCCAAAGGGCCACGGCAAAACTTCGGGCTGACAGGTAGTAAAGTAAGTCATTTCACAGCTGTTACACACCTGAAAAGTTATTACAGCCAAGGCATAGCTATGAGACATGGATTTTGCTGATTTCTAAAACAGGGAACACAGCAGACACTCCTTAATTCCAGTTTCTTTAGCACTGCTGGTGCCACACTGCTGTTCCTACTCAGCAGTCCTAACACTAAAGTGTTTTCAAACTGATTTCATAGTGACTGGCCAGACCAACACAACCTCCACGTGCACACACAGCCATATAAATGATATGCACAAGCGTCTCTTAAAATTCCCAGCCTGTCCCTCCCCACGGGAAACACTCAGTTCCCCCTGGTCCTTATACAACCCCAAGCCGAGGAGCTGGGGTGTTTTCCACCCCCTCTGGGGTCTCTGGGCACAGCAGAGCTGGGGAATTTTGGCCTCCCGGCACCTGAGAGGGAGATTCTCACCTCGTTGCTGGGCTGTTATCACCAAAAGGGCCACGCAGGTTCCCAGGAACGACTGTTTGTTCATCCTACAGGAAGGAAAGAAACCCAGACATACATCACAGCGGTTGGAGAACACATCCTTAAGGGTATCTCAAGCCCTGTTGTTTGACTAATCCTCTGTGCTGGCTCCTACCACAGCCACCACTTACTGCTTCGGATGAGCGTGGAGGAAGCACAAACATTTACACAGCTGGGCACCTCCTTGCTGCACAGGGATCAATGAGAGAGGGAGAGCAGACACAGGGCTGGGAAAATGAAAGAGAAACCCCGTGCCAGCTTTAATTCCTTCTGTGCCTAATGCAATTTGTTACTCATTATTAATCCAATAGAAAATATTGCTAAAACACCTGCTTTGATTTCTTCGCCTGTCGATTCCGCGATCACACACGGGCAGGGCTCCCGGGAAGGTCTCCCATGTTCCCAGCGTGTGTGTGCCCAGTTGGAAAAGTACGTGCCCAGCTTCACACACCAGCCTACAGCCACGCATTGTGCACAGCCTGGGCTTTCACATCAGCCTCTCCACCTTCCCAGCTTCAAATATCTGCCTAGAAAAGCCAGCGGTGTTTTGTGTTCTCCGTAGATCTGTTTTTGTGGGGTTTGTGGATCAGCAGATCCAACACCTCCTAAAGGCACAGATACACATGCACAACACATAGAGTGCACAGGGGGAACACCCCATCATCTGTCCCACATCATTCCCACTTGATTCCAGTTTCTGGGAGCTTGAAAAGTATGGGACACAGCGGACAGAAAGTTCCTCCCTGTTCACTGCTGCAGTCACATCAGCGCTGGTCCCAGCCTGCTTCCAGCCACCACATTCGCCACTGACTAAAAACCCCTCCACCAAGGAAAAGTTTTGCCACATTCCCTATCTTGGAAAGATGAAAGGAGGATGACAGGACTGTAAATTCTGCGGGTTCATTAACAGAGAGCAGGCAGAGGATGACTAGTGGAGACTGTGTGGCAGTCTGAGGACAAGAGCAAGACTGGCACCACTCGGCAAACATGACAGACTTCATCAAGAACACATCATTTATCATATCCCATTCGAAACTACAATCATTTAGGTATGGAAAAAAAAAAAAAAAAGAATTACCAACCTGTTTTGTGGACTAGAGGAGCGATCAGGTCTGAAATTTTAGACCAATCTTGGTGGAGCAGGACGAAGTCCTATGTCAATGGAGAATGCATGCCGGTCCTCCCGTGCCAATTCCTGCTGGGGACTGAAAGGATGGCTCAGTCCCTTGCTCTCCCAATTGAAAACTCCCTTTCCACCAATGCTCTTCCAGGGCTGGAGCAGTGTTGAGTTGCAATCACAACTGTTGCCTCTATTGATAAGCAGCAAGCTAATCTGGAGATCAGATTCTGGCCTGGAGAGGGAGAGGAGCCTCTTTCTTCCCCAAAAGCTCACCCCCTTCAGGCGGATTGAGATGGAAATGCCAGTGAGCCGGGGCTGGGCTCGCTGCTGGGCTGCTCAGGGGAAAGAAAACCCAACCCTCAGAAGAACTGAGCCCCTTCCTCCTTTGTGTAAAAGGAGAAAAAAAAAAAAAAGCCCATCTATATAAAGTTACAGGATTAGCATTAAGCAGTGCTAGGCTCAAAGTGCTGTTCAAAGGCGCTGCCCTGAACTTTCAATGGAGCTACTTTGCCATCCAGGTCTTGCTTTACTTTCTGTAACTGCTTTTACAGGTGGAAAAGGAAAAAAAACTCACCCAGTCCAGTGTTCTCTCTCCAAATCTCCCAGGGAGGCTTTCCTTGCTGGCACAACGATTTTCCCTTCTGACTCTCTGGGTGGGTGCCTTTTATTTTCCCTATTTTCCCTGATAGGAGTTAACTTATTCCTCCTGTGCTCCCTGCACAGCCTCTCCCTGCCCCTTGTGAGGGCACAGGAATGCCAGCAGCCCAGCAAGAACTAGAGAAGCCCAGATTTTTTTTTTTTCCCCCAAGAGCCTGGGAGTTCCTAGAAGTGTGTTTAACAAGTTCACCCCCAAAGTGCTGCATCTTACATCAGCAGTTTCCTTCAGCACATCAGGGGCACCAGGAAACAAACCACCTCCACAGCAAATCCTGGAGTTTGCTTCCTCTTCATCCTCCAAACGTGGCCTTGCTAACAAGAATCTTTCATTTTTAATTTCATTTGTACACTTTTTCTAAACCCACAACTATTTTAGGAGGGCAGGGGATAGCAGCACTGATATTCCAAGGGACCCATTACTTCCAGCCTGCCACTCCATGCACCCTTGGCTCTCCCCTTCCCTCCCATACATTTTAAACATCACCAGCCACAGGAAAATCAATTGACTCTTCTCCTTCTGCTTTGTAACACAGAGAAAACTGGTGAAAATTGGTTTCCCTCTGCTCCTTTGTCAGTTTAATATTCTGGTCCTGTTGGTCCTGGGCAAGACCACACTGATGGAGTTTGATTAGGCTTCACTGTCTCTTTGGGGAGGACTTTGTCTTTTCAGACTATTTTCTTTTGGCAGGGGATGTTCCCACCGTGCAGTGCTGGACACACATGAGAGCTGAATGACCAAACACCTTTTTTTTTTCTTTTTTTAATCCTTCCAGCAGAAAACTGCCTGCCTCTCATGCCTGACCTCAAGAAAAAACAAGCATCAAAAGATGAGACAAAAAGGTTCTCTGGCTGCTTCATCTCGGCAGAGCAACCAAAGGCATTCCCATTTCAAGGGACCCAGCACAGCTGGGAGAGGAGTTTGCCAGGAGTTCTGCCCCATCTGGAGGGACATCTTCCTCCTCCTGCCTCTCCCCAGGGTTGTTCGGTGCAGGCCACGAGGATGGAACTTGTTTTAACCCCAAGGCCAGTCCCAGTGAGGACAGGGAGCAGATAACAGTGAACTCGAGCCTCGTTCCTCACCTGGAAGTGGAGATGAATCACGGCCACGGAGAAATACAGTCCAGGAGAGGACTAGATCTTCCTTCTCCTTTCAGAAAGCACCATGACAGGGAAGGTGGCTGTGCTTGGAGCTCTCAGCACAAACACCAGCAGCACAAAAACACCTCGGCAGCTCTCACTGCACCAAAGGTGTGAGTTAAACACGTGGGTCAGACCGAGGGGAACGTTTTGCTTCAAGGGCAACACAAAAGGGCAAAGCTCAGGACACCTTTTTTTTTTTTTTGTGTAAAAACTTACATAAGTTTATTGAACTGATCCAAACCAATTACCCATTTGGCCTGAATTCCACCGCTAAGTCTGCGAGCAAACCAAAGGCAAGTCATGGGAGCGGGAAGAATATCCCCCGTGAGAGAAACCAGGATAAAAAACGAGATGGACTTACAGTTCTTTTTCTTTGAAATTACACATGGATGCAACATTAACAGGGAGCAAGAACAGATCTTCATGTTTAAATTATATTTGAAATTTCCAGTAAGTGCAGGAAAAGCAATCACAGAGGCAAAGGCCCGAGATGGTTGAAGCCCCTCAAACGCTGCTCTGGGGAAGGCGTCTCTCTACAGAAGTGCCACATCCAAACGAGGGAGGCACAGCTGCCAGGAATACATATTTTAGCCTCTGGGCTGCTTCCAGCACCTCGTTTGCATTTTCAAATCTGCACACGAACAGAACCTACAGAATCTCATTTACAAGCGACAACGGCAACCGGGAAGGCAGAGCCAGTGCCAGAGATTCCAGACCCGAGGAGGCGAGGACACATGGGGAGCCCCTCCCCAGGGGCAGCTCCTCCGAGCCACCCTGGGCCACGCTCTCACCTGCCACTAGGATGTGTGCAGCTCCCAAAAAAACCGCGTTACAAACGCCAGCGGGAGAACAGAGGGGCAGCCGGCACGCCATGAATGAATATTCATAACATCGCCCAACCCTTAAGCGATCCGCCTGAAACATCTGGTCAAAACACCGATAGTCAACAGCAACGTTATCCAAAAAAAAAACCCACGAGAGCGCAGCATCCAATCTCGGCACACGGAGCCGTGTGACACTTTGGTATGTAGCTGTCACCTAATTCCCGGCGAGCCAGGGGCTTGCCCGCTGCGCAGACTGCCCGGGGCAGGCTTTAAATGCATGAACTAGCAGGAACAGCAAAACAGCTCTTGACAAAAAGTAGCCCTCAGATAGAAGGACACAAAAGCTAGGGAAGCTTGCACATCTATTTTGCTTTTCTCCAAGGAATGTGGCAGAGCCAGGGATGTTTTCACCAGGGCACAGCCCCTCCTGACACCGCACGGGTTTAAATCAAACCTCCTGCCACGTCAGGACCCTGCGGGATTCTCAGCATCCCAAACCTCCTCTCCCACTCGGAGCCCTCTCCTCTCTCCCCCAAGACATGGCCCCTGTTAAGCACTAACTTGGCACACACCCCCTTTCCCAACAGGTATTACAAAAGGAAAGGGATCTGGGGTATTCCCCCCCATCAGTTGTGTGCCTTTTGGTCCTACTTTCCGAAGCCGATCACCTGGACACATAAACTGCCTCTGGGTTATGGATGGGACTCCTTCTCCTCGGGAGGACAACCAAGATCTTTGGTTTCCACCCCACGAGCGTCCCACAAGCTGCACACAAGGTGAATGCCTTGAGAACATCATCCAGAAAAAAACCCTACCCTGGAGAAGTGGCAAAGTAAGCGGTGATGTCGATACTGTGACTTCTGACCTGCCCGACCAGGGGAGCTGGGTTGGGTGTCAGCACCAAATCCCCAGCACTTGCTGACCTTGTGTGTCAGTAGCTCTTCTCCTTTCCCATCTTCCAGTTCCCACCAGGTCTGCCACACATAAAACCAGGATTTACTGACAGTTCTGAGCTGGTGCAGTGATGGCACCATTCCCTCCAGGGACAGGCCAATTTTTAGTGGGCAAACAAACTTAAAAGCACATCCTTGGGTCTTTCTTTATCATCCCGTTCAGCTCTTTAATGGTCTCTGTTTATTCCCTTCTCTGAAACCGAGACACTTAATTGTGCTGAGGAAGCTGGTCAAGAGCTACAGCATCTCATTAATAGCAGGTACAGTGCCATAAATACACCCACAGAGGCAACCACTGCTCTACAGAATTAGGTCAGAGATACTTTTGCATCCCTCTTGGTCGCTTACCTCGGACACTGCAGCGACTCAGGGACAACCTACTTACACTGGAGGTCAAGGGCTGAAATAGGCTTCTAATATTAAACAACCATATCTTCATAAAACTTTGCTTTATAACAAAATATCTTATTAACCACAACTTTTCCTATTCGTAGGTATGTATATATATCATACAGAAAGTGTTGGCTTAAGAGTTCTGCTATAAGGCAGCAAATTACTTTCACTGCCCAAAAAGGAAAATACATCTTCAGTAAAGCTCTAGCTTATAAAAGCATCATTTTATGTTACACTGCCACTACCTCCCTGCTGTTTAGTTTTACAGGTACCACAGCCCTGCAGGTGCATGCTGTGGTCTCTATGCTACCTGTGGAAAGTCTTGCTCCCTTTCCTATTGCTCATCTCAACGGGGCCAAGAAATTGGTATTTTTTTGGCAGGGGGGTGAGGCACACATTAATAATTTGTCTTAAATCCTCCTGTTTTTAATGCTTACTTTGGATGAGGAACTACTCCCCCCTCTGAACTATCCCCACATCCTGAACCTGAAGACTATGAGATAACACTTCACTCCCTCCCCATCCTATCCCACCCCACTTTCTAGGTGAAATATGAAGAGAAATACACAACTCCAGGGATATCAAAGGAGCTTGGTGATGTGGACAGAAGCATCATGGGAAAGAAAGTGCACGTGGGGACAAGGGAGCATTTCAAAATTAAGGTCAGGAGTTCATGTGTAACTAGAGCCCTCACTGCACAGCTTCAAAAACTTTTATGCAGCTGCTTGTAACTAGGAAATCTGAAAAGTCTTCAACTTGTCAGGGAGCAGAGGAACAAGGGAAGACGCAGGGAAGGGAAATGAGATAGAAAGGAAGAAGGATTTCACTGAACAGGAATCTGCTCTGCAGCAGAAAACAGGGGCTAACTTAAGCAGCAGCACAAGGTGGGGGAAGCCAATAGTGAAAACCTGCTGAACAACAAACATGAGTCTGGTTGCTTTGTTACTCAACTTGTAGGAACTGGTCCGAGCCGACACACTGTCCTGGCTCCGACCCTAAGCAGGGACCCCCAGCCAGGGGCCCCGGGGAAAGTGCTAAGGTTTGAATTCTGGTGCAACAGCAACAAACACAAACTTCAACTTCACTCTTCCTCTCCTCCCTGGAGAGGAATTTTAGCCATTCCACGTTCAGTACCAGCTGGCCCAAGGTTAAGTGCATGGAGGATCTCTTCAGCATCAGGATGGATGACGGCCAGTGGGGGAAGCTCTTCAACCCCTCGCTGACCTGTTACTCTAAAAGCCCTTGCAACGCAACACCCATCCCACCACACTCCAAAATCCACTTTGCAGCATGCCCAAGGGTCCCTTTGCCCCCAGCCTGCCAGTGCTACAGGCTGCAGACACAGTGTGAGACGGGTACAGCCACCAAAACTTCCTTTTTTCCCCCCCAAAACAAGTGGATGCAGGGCGTGTGTTCTGAAAAGAAAGCTTCTTTCTGCTAAATTCTCTTTCTTTCCCCCATTTTGTGCACTCCTAGAAACCAAACCAGCGGAGTGAAGTGGATGCACTAAGTACCTGAGCTCTGAATCAAGCAGAATAAATACTGTTGGAGATCTTGTCTGTGAACTCGAGCACAACGAAAGGTTGAGACAGCACCAAGCTGCAAGAAAATACTTCAGCAAGCTCGAGCCACAGTCGGGTAGCGAGGCCAAAGGGAGCTCTGGTGGAGCAAAACACCAAAAACTTAGGAAAAGAAAACAACAGGTCAAATTCTGCACCGATCTGTTGTCTCCCTTATGGACCCTGGCATTCCTTAGCTTGAACAACTGACCATTCACGCCAAATCACGAGTATACCGGAGCATCAAAGGAAACATCAAGGTATTGCCCACACTGAAACACACCTACTGAAGTCAATTGTCACCTCAAGGTCACCTGCAGTGGATGGTGGGCATTGGTTCTCACGTCAGGGCACCTCCTCCGGGCTAAGAAATCACCTGCTACAGAAACACAACCAAACCTCAACCAACCAACCGAAACAAAAACCTTGCAAAAACTCCTTAATGCATGTGTGTGTGGGTGTGCTGGGGGCATGTGTGTGGCCAAGAGAGGTTATTTCATTCTGGGCTCCACGTAGATTTTATCCCCATCCCGGATGCCGTAGGAATGCAGCGCTCGGGAGCTGTACTTCATCTCCTCGGGGCCGAAGGGAGCCTCCTGGTCCAAGTAGAAGAGCAGCATGTTGCTCGTGGACAGCTGCACCACAGTTTTTAAGTGCTTCTTCAGCTCTGCCACAGTCTGGTCGAGGCGGATGGACATCTCCTCCACCTTATCCTGGAAGTGAACCTCCACCTTGGCGCTGCTCTGAGGCCGCAGATCCACCACGGCCAAGGGCTCCAGCTTCCCGTACTTGGTGACCAGCTCGTGATACCTGGAAAAGCCAACAGTGCCACAATTATGGTGCAAGCTGCACAGTGCACGTTTCACAAGTTCTGAACGTTCCTCACATGAGATCACACTGACCCTCGTTCGAGTTTGGTTCCCTAGGAATAAATTTGGATGGTATGAGCACTGTTTTGTCCCCTGTCAGCAGGACACTTCACAGAGCACCCAGAATTTTTCAGGCAAGATGATGAAAAGATACTTGGAAGAAAGAGAGGAAGCCACACACAACTTTACAGCTCCTGCTCCAGTGCAAACACTTCACTAAAGAGTGCCAGAACCAGGCCAGTGCTCACACAAAGGACACAGCCCTCAGTTTAGGTTCCCTGTGGAATCTAAAGTCTCTGTGGCTTCATGGTTTACCTGACTGTCAGACACCCCTGCTGTTCTCCAAAGGGCCAGCTAGGTCCCAAACGTGACAATCACCAAGATCACCGAATCAAGGTGAGCCACTGCAAGGTGACAACAAAAAAGGGGACTTGTTGCCAACTGATCCTTCACACCTACTCTAAAACAAGATGGGATTTTTACCAGCAGAGCCACACACCCCACTGTCACTTTCTCCTTGGAGCCAAGTTCTCTTCCCAAGGTCCATCCCAGGGAGCCATTCCTGGCAATGGAAAGTCTGTCTCTCCCTCAGCAGGTACTGCTCCCATCAGGCAAGGCTGCATCTCCCTGCCTGGCTGGGAAAGAGGCAGAATGGCAGCACAAAACACAATGGGAGTGAAATGACAAAGGCAGAGCTGCTGAGGAAAGGTAACATTTCAGAGCCCCTCCGCTCTGCCCAGCACAGAAAGCGCTTTTTGTTCCCCATCCCAGGCCCAGCTGAATGCGATCGGTGCCGTGTCACGGCCCCTGTCGAGCAGTGATGGGACCTGGCAGGCTGGGAGACCCCAGGGAGTCGTGCCGGAGGCAGGAATGTTCCTGGAGAACAGCAGCCCCTCTGTCTGCTGGGAAGTGAGGTAAGGGCCACCACGCACTAGGATTTCCCAAATCTCACGGGCAGAGCAGCCAAAGGCAGCCTGGTGCCCTGCTCTCACAGGATCCTGCTGACAGGATCAGGGCTGTTTGTTTGGGAAAGCCATCAGTGCTGAGAGCAGACAACACACTCCCCCCATATTTGACCCACCTGCAGCTACAGCGAGTGCCAACCAACGTGTCACCAACGGGGAGGGTTTCTCTGCAGCACAGTTTCCTCCAAGTTTTCTCAGGAGGAATCCTTTTAAAAGGATTTCTCAGCAGGGAAAGAGGGAGAGAGGAACCCACCCCTTGCTGCTCCAAGCCCTCGGCCCACTCTGGGGCAGCCCTTTAACTCTCACCATCTCTGCTGCCACAGAGCAGCAAAAAATTCTTATGGGCCAACCAGAATCACTGCCCTGATCGGTGCACTGAGGGCAACTGCAGTGAACTGGGCTGATGGTGGGCAGAGGATAAAGAGGGGGGCAAATTTCGAGCAAGCTGAGAGAGAGAAGCACCACGAGTGGGTTAAGATGACCCAAATATGTGCTGTTAACACACAGAGAGTCAGGCAACGCTGTCTTACATCTTCTTGTGCCGAGGGAAGGCAGAAGCAGCTTTGCAGTCTGTCCCTTGGATGTGAGCTGCAGAGACAGTCAGGAGTCTGAGTGACTGGCTTCCCTCAGATCAATAGGGATGAAGGCACACTGCTTATAAGGTTCTTTTGTACCCCGATAATAGGCACCCTGGAGACTTTTCTAATCACCCTTGCAGACACTGGCTGCCAGAGCAGAGGATGCTGAAGAACTGAGCCTGGTTAAAAGTGCCTCTGATAGTCTGCAGATAAACAGTGGCTCAGACAAGCAGAGGAGTCATTAAAAACCCACAGACACAGCGACGTCACGCCAGGAGACAGCCAATATTGGATTGTACACTCAGTGCTCCCTCTAACCCACGGCATCCAGAGAGATAAATTGTTCTTTCCATTCCCCTCCCTCCCTGATCCCTTCCAGCTGCAGCCTGGGAAGACATGAATGAAAGCAGGGTGGGGGGGTTGTCCTGACAGAGCTTATCTCAAGCTGCACCTTGGCAGTCTCAAGGGGGGCTGCTCCCACTGGGAAGTTTTCCGTGCTCCAGTGTGTCCTCCCTCTGCTCCAGGCAGCACTGCAATGCAGATGCTGTCCCCCCAGCAACAACATGTGTGTCCTGATTAGATCCTAATTACAAACCACCTTTGGAGAGACCACACCAGATCTGGGAGCAAAGAAAGGGGAAGCTTTAGCAACAAACAGACACAAAATCCCTCTGCAAAGAATGCCAGGTTTCCTTCCTTGGCTGCTGCCAAGGGCCCAGGAACTGAAACCCAGCCCTCAGCACTGGGGACACTGTCAGCCATCTGCAGCCTCACTAGAAAATAGCCTGTAGTGGCACACAACCCCTCCAGGACAGAACAACCCTCTTTAGTAGCTGCAGGAGTCTCCTGGAAATGCTGCACAGATGAAGGGATTCAGACAAAGGGGCCATTGACCACGAGAAAGGCAGCAAGAGTGTTTAAATGTTAAGAAACCAGAGGGGGAGGTAATTTTCCTCAGCAGGCTGGTCAAAATCAGCCTGGTTTTCTGGGATGGGTGAGATATTAGTGATCTCTTACACGAGATGCCACCTGGAAAGCGACCCCAGTGGTGTGTGGGGATGTGCAACCATGTGGGTGCACACAGCCTGTTCCCAAAGTCCGTGCCCAGAGACACGAAACAGCTTTCTTAGAAATAAAATGTTATGGAAAATAATCCATTTTGGGAGCACCACCACGAGCTCACAGTCCCTGCCTCCCCTCCCTCTCCCCTGCATTCTCTGACTCGGCTGCCATCGCTTCCAATATTTCTTCCGATTTTTACGCTTCAAGGGCTTCTAAAATTACAAGCCAGGACTTGTCCTCAGGAAAAGGCACAAGAAGGATCACCAGCTGTCTTGTCTCCCTGACTACACGAGTGCCCTTTGCCTCTGAACTGACCCCAGCATGCCTTTAGCAAATGTTATAATCGCTGAACCTATCAGTATTCATAAAAAACACCCTGCCCTCAGCCCCTATTCCAGCCTTCCCATGCCCTCACTGTACCAGCAGGTCACATACCCAGAGCTTTAGGAAAATAGGAGGCATTTTACCTAAGAATGAAGTTGGGGGGGGAACACTGACCAGCCCATGTAAACACTGACTAGATTCCATTTGCACCTCTGTCATCCATTCCAGGCCATACTTTTGACCTTCAGTGTGTCCCCACCTCTGTCTGTCCCCTCAGAGTCACACACAGAGCCTTGTCCTACCCCTTTTCTGTAAAAAAAAGGCCCATAAAGCTCTGCTGTCAAAAAGCACATGAGGGTTCCAGGGCAAAAGGCACATCAAGGCAGTGGCCTGATGGTCCATGATCCTTCCTCAGCCCAACAGGAGCAGTAAGTAGATGCTGGCACAGAGAAGGTACCAACTGAACAGCATCTGTCCAAGTTCATTAGTTTAACCAAGATGAACGGGTCATTGGATAGACTTTTCTGGCAAAGAAAAACCATCAGGCTTGTGATTTGCAGGCCTGACAGCGAGAGGACAGCTTCCCATTGCCAGTCACATTCCACACACCAGATGGTCAAGAGGATTAGATGCCCTGGCCTGGCACCAGAGAGCACGATCTGCCCGGGCTTTTGGGCGCTCCCAAACACAGGTGGATTATGAAGGGAGCCATCAGAGGGGCCAGGAAACAATGAAGGTCATGAACTGAACAGTCATGTTGTTTAATGGCACTTGACACAGAGAATGTCAGACCGAATTTGGCTCAGGAGTGATCCTACAGGTCACCAGACAACACACCAAAATAACGACTTCAGCTAAAACAGACTGAGGATTCCAAGGCAGGAGGAAGGATGGAACAGTTAGCATGGATTTCCCAGGTAACATCACCTCTCCTTCAGCCTCCCCCACCCTCCTGCCCCTGCTCTCCACTGCACAACAAAGAATTCCCACCTGAACGGCACCTCCTCCTCCGGGAACTCCATGTAATATCGGATGAAGAATCGCTCCGAGTCCTCTCGCTCCCCATCGGCAACGATGCTCCCGTTGAGCTTGATGATGGATGGCAACCTGCAAGCAAGACACCAATTTCATGCACCTTCTCCAAGCACGTTCAAAATGAAGCATTTTCATTTCACCACATCACGTGCACAGGCACGTTTGAGACCCAAAAACTCCTGTGAGAAGCAGAGAAGTCAGACAGCATTTCCGCTCCTCCCGCTTTCCCCACACCACAAAACCAAGCTCCAAATCTTTCTGAATTCACACACAACTCCATCTCCTACTCCTTTTTCCCACAATTACCTGCTCCCACCCGTTCACTGTCAGCTCAAGCTCCTGCTGAGCAGAACAAAGAAGGAACAGACCTGGCTATTAGCAGCTTCCTGCGCTCCTCGGTGGTGTAGGACTGCAGCAAAGGAATTCCCAGCAGTTTCACTTCCTCGAGCTTGGGAAAAGAATTTAACTTGTCAATGTCTTCCCAGCAGTGCAGACCTGCTCAGAAGGAAAGGTTTGTGTAAACAAACACAGATAAAACGTTGTGTATCCAAGACACAGCCAAAAAGAACACACATGACAGGTGCCACTGCTGTTCCTTTTGCTCATGAAGTGCTGAAAAAACCCCTCCTTGTTTTGCTGACAAGACAGAGTAGCTGAAATTCTCTTGTGCTGTTTTCCAAGTCTAGAAAGATGATCTCCATGGCTTAGTTTTTTATGGATCACTCAGTGTTTGGCCTTGCTGCTGAGGACTGGCCAGCATCAGTTATGATGGCTGTGTCTATAAAGGGATGCTGTCTGTACAGTATTAAATTCATCAGGGTTTATGTCATTCCAGACATCACTAAACAGCCATCAAGTGGCTTTACCTTGCACTCATGACCACCTTGAGTCCTGTTCCTGCTCACAACCCAACACTAAAACAGCCCCAGAAGCCATCCAGGCATTTAATGAAAAAGACTTTAATTCGATTTCAGCCCCTGGTATTTGGGATAACAAAGCAAGCAGGGAGGGTAAATAAAACCTGAGGATTGAGCACCAGTAAAGCCCTGAGAGATCAACATAATTCGTTGCAGAGTCTTCACACGACACAATTTTGGAGTGCAGCAGCTTTGTGTAAAGAACCCAAGAAGTTTAACATGCTCCTTGAGGAGTTCTACTTGACTTCCAGCTCCCAAAACATCAAAAAGCTAACACAGAACCCGGAGTTCTTAAATACCTGGCATCAAAACTGCAGAACTACTTACCACAGAAGCACTTGTTCCTCAGTGAGACAGTGCTTTCAAATCCAGCTTAACAGGCTTTTCCTCCTCTAGTTAGCTTTAAGCTTTCATTACAGGGATTCCTTGATGCTTACATTGTAAAGCATGTTAATAAAGCACCTGCTACCTGCCTGACACTTAACCAGCACTTGCACAGCATGCAAAGCTGTGAAGAACAAAAGCTGATGATGCATTAGGTGCTCCTGCAGATGAGCTTGTGGTGCATGTGTCACCTCATAAACACGTCACAGCCCTGGAGCTGCTGCTCTCCCGAGCACAGGGTGCTCTTCCCAATATTCCAAAGGCTCATTCTCTTTCTGGAGCTGAAAATTCTCTGGGGCTGAAGTTGTAAAAGCAGCTTCAAGCACAGCTTTGTGGTGAGTTCCTAATGACTGAGCACAGGTGACAGACAGCTTGATATGTGCTGCACACCTGCACAGACCCTCATTCTACCCAAGATAAAACAGGGAATAAAAGACAGACGGGATTCTTTCATCCCCTCCACTGCCAGACATTTATTTATCATTCTCCAGCCAGGAGCACCCGAGGCAGGGATGTGAAACAGAGGGGAAACCACTCACATAAAAAACCTTTGCCAGCTCATTTGGAGTCCACACTACTCTGCCTCATCTTTTGAGAATGACTGACAACCCAAAGCAGCTGGCAAAGCCCACAGGGATGGGCTTGTTGTCACCTACACGGGAGGGGAGCTCTGATCATCCTGAGAACAAAACCCATCCTGCTCCCAGGCTCTCACCTGATTTGTGCAAGTTGATGGATCTCAGGTTGGGGAACAGCCTTGCCAGGGAATCTTCTGACTCTTCAATGGTGGTGAGGTTGTTGTTAGCCAGAATAAGTGTGTCCAGGGATGGAAACATAATTCCCAACTTTCGAATTTCAGTCCAGTCTTGAAGATTATTGTCAGTTATGTGGAGCAGTTTGAGAGACTGGCAGCAAACAGGAGAACAAGACACTGTTTCGTAGTCATTAAGGCACAGGAAGAGCTCCTCCAAGCTGCACAGGGGCAGAAGGATCATGTCAGCACCTTGACAAGTGATATTTCAATTTTATATGATTTTAACACAACTTCCTTAAAGTGATTTGCAACCTTTGAGAGCTCCACGTGGAAATGTTTCCACTACATCTCTGCTCCCATCTACAAACCTTCTCCAGAGATTAAAAAAACCCTCCAAGTGTTTCCCTGGCCTCCCAGGATTAAATTTGTGACAAATTGCTTGGGGTTGTCTTCCACATTTGTGCCAAACAAGCCACCAAACCAACTCCAAAAGTGACTGGTACCTGCTCCCAGTGCTCCCCACTTATGATACAACACTGATTGTAATTGTTCCCCCCACATCACTGGTTCTGCCAAAGATTCTCACTAAGTTTTCAGACAACTGAACTGGCTCTCCCAGTCCCAGGGAAGTGGAGGTTGGCCACGCAGGATATTCTGTTGTCATCAGCTCTGCTCACAAAGCCATACAAAGCTGTCATCAAAGTGAAGCCAATCAGGACATCCATGGGAGCAGAATGCCAAGGTGGCCCATGGCCAAGCCACAGAAATCAACCCTTTTGCAGAGAAAAGCAGGATGAACTATTACTTGACAAGTGGCCAGACCCACAGAGGTACATCCCATTCAGTTACTGGCCCAGGTATGCACTGCACCATTCACGGTGCAGTGACTCACAGGAAACAGGGTCACCTCCCACATTTTTGGGTGATTATCCATCCATCTCTGGCATTTAGATTCGGATGAGAAGCTCCAGGCTTTGCAGTGCCACACAAATTCAGCTTTTAATACAATGTAAAACATTCCCCTGGCCAGTTCCCAAACTGCCAAAGAAAAAAAAAATCCCTTTTTTTTTTTAATCAATGACGTTGTCATCCCTTACCACAGAGTTCAACAACCCAGCCTTGACCTGCCTGCAGCAAACACCCCTTTTTCTACACCCAGCATCCCAGGCTTACTCAGGTAATTCCTGCAGGATGGTGTGCACTGTTTCCCAGGAAGCTTTGCTGTTGTTGAGCACAAGTTTGCGAACGCCGGCGAAGGACCCAGCACAACTTCTCTCTAGAACGGACAAACTGAGAGGGTTGGAACTCAAGTTTAGAAACTCCAAGTGGGGAACGTTGGACACAATTTTACTGACCTAATGGGGAGGGAAAACAAACAACAACAAAAAAAAAAAGAGAGAGAGAAAGAAAGCAATGTGTGTCAGGCAGTAATCGGAGCTCAGGCAATAATATCCCACCTCCTAAAAGGGGATCACCACAAGCTGAAGGAATGATATGGGGAAAAACACAGAGCTTCTGGATATCTACCTGTAATTCATACTGCAGCTATTCCTGATCAAGATGGATTGGTTAATTGCTCATTTGCCTCAACAGTTCACTTCATTACACTCCCTGAGCAGCTTGATAAGAGAAGGTCAGTCCCTTGGGAGAGGTCATAAAATCCACCTCTCTCAGCAGGGAGGCATCACCTTAACACATCCCTTGAGTTTGTGCCTGGGGCAGCACTGTGAGTGAAGAGCTCGATGCAAAGCCAGCAGGTAGAAGAATGACACTCGTTACATTTTCCATGACCACAATAACTGTGCTTTTTTAATCTGTGGGTGATCCCACGGGTGGCAAAGGCTGCTACAAGACCAGAGGCCAAAGCAAAGCCAGCTAAAACCCCTGGGATGGAAGTTCAGTTCAGGGACAGTCAAAGAACTGACATTCAGGGAGAAAGACATTAGTCCAGAAAATAATTATGAGTCAGAGAACACCTGTCTGGAGAGCTCTGCTCCACAGAACAATTGGGATGGGAGGAGATGGGGCAGACCAGGACACACACAGGTCACTAACTGGGCCCAGCTGTTGGCAAAGGGTGATTGCCTCATGCAGAGACTGAATTCAAGTGTGGCAAACATGAGGTAATGACCCTGCCTCGCTTCACACCTCGTCCTGGGTGATGTCATGTTTTGGGTGCTACGCCTCAGGAATTAAGCAGACAAACTGGGTGACATCAGCCCAACAAAAACACAGGATTTAGCAAAACTGGCCTATGTAATGGGATAGGAAAAACTGGGTTTTTTCAGTATTATGCTAAAATAATAAAAGGAGACATGAAAGCCCTTCTTCAGGGTATAAAGGAACAGCAGTGGATGCTCCTCTGTGCCTGCTGAGAGCAGGGCAGGGAGTAATTGGCTTAAATTGCAGCACAGGAGGCTGAAATTACATAGTTTAGACCATGAGGTTATTAGCTAAGCACAGGAACAGGCCACCCAGGGATCTGGAATCGCCATCACGGGCAGTTTTTAAGGGAGATTTTTATCAGTTGTGGATGGGCTATGAAAACATAATCCTGTTTCACAGGAGAGGGCCAATGTTCACAGAAGGTTTTTAGTTCCAGGGCAGCCTGAAGAGGGTGAACACAGAGCAGGGTGCCAGACATGGAGCTCATGAGTGACCAGTGTTGTGTGCAGCTCTCCCAGCTGCTGAGAACACGTGAGGTCAGCCCCACTGAGCTGGGACATTTCTGCAAACACCAACAGGAGTTTGACACAAAACCCCACAAGACATCCCCTTCTTTTCCCCCCCTATTTCCAACAATAAACACTGACATAAAAGGAGTGCATAATCCAGTGAGGAACTTAATGACACTTGAGCAGACTGAGATTGTTTTACTCACATTACATTGCGTTTATCGAGCTTCTTTCGCCCAAGTGCTTTGAAGGATTTTACAGTAGCATTTAGAATTAATTAATGAGGCTTCAGAAATACCCTTTGTGGTAAATGTTACTAAATCTGTCTTGCAGATAAGGAAATTAATTGTGGAGAGAGAATAAATACCTCGCCCACCATCATAAAATCAGCGGCAAAGCTGGGAATCAGCTGCCATTCCCTGGACCCCCTCAGTTCTTACTCTGTTAAAAACTGCACTGCCCATTAACCTCTTGATGTTAGAAACGCCAGCTCCAGTGCTTTGCACGATAAAATAACATAAAAATGTATATTTTTCACCCACAGGCCAGGACTGTAAGTCACAAGGTAAATGAAGTGCCAAACTGGATTAATTTCACCCCATTTATCGCTCGGTCGCTGTCGAGGTAAATAAAAATCAGCCTCAAAGACGAGAAAGCAGCCACTAAAAACGTAACTCTCTCCCCTTCAAATGAACAAAGAGCTTCCATAAGCTTGCAGCCACAGTGACAATCATCAGAAAGATGCAGGTGCCACCATTTTTTACCTCGTGCCAGTCTTCCAGTTTGTTGTCAGAGAGGTCGAGCTCAAAGACGTGGGCGCAGAAGGCGGCGATCTCGTTCTCGTCCCCGGCGCAGGTGATGCCACAGCTGTTCAGCACCAGCACGCTCGGGAGGTTCAGGCGATCTGGGACACGGGGAAAAGAGAAGCTGCCCCCTGGTCAGCACTGAATTTTAGTGACAGAACCTCCAAAAGTGGGGAAAAAAATAATAAATCTGCCGGTTGTTCCCGAATCGACACAGATTGAGGGAGCTCGGGGTCAGCGTGGGTTTTATGACTGGCATCATCACAAGGTCTTTTTGATTCTACACTTGCAGTACCACTCAGTATCTGCACGTATTTCTGTCCACAGGCCAGTCCTTTGTCATTTATGGTGTGTCTCGTATCAGTTCTTGCCAGAGCTTGTGCTCTTCCCCAGGCATCTGCTGCAGCAGATAGGACACAGGGCTAGGTGGAGCATTTGCTGCACTGCCAGACTCAGCCCTTCTCCTCCTGCCCTTAGTAACAGCAGGGATGTATTTAAGCATGTCTTTCCTAAGCTTTCCCCTTCCAAGCTCAGTGTAGAGGGTTCAGCACTCCTACATCCTGGGAAAGCTCAGCTCTCTACTCTGCTTTTACATTTCTGCTTCAGTTTCGCTCTAATTCCTTCTTAGGCAGGTAAATGTTCTCAAGGTTGTTCTACAACCAAGGACTTGGACCTCAATCACAGCTTGATGTGCTAAGGCCAAAACACGACAGAAAGCTGTAGATTTGTAACAGGAAACCATTCCAACACAAGGAATCCACGGCAAGGCAAGCCAAGCCCTCAGTTCTCACACTCCTTCACACACACCGTGGCTTTCCCACCTCTCAGAAGTATCAAAATCTATTAAAATTTAACAATCAGCTTCTTCCTAAATAGGTGGCCCTTTTTCTGTCTCCTTAACACCTGACAGCTACACGATTAGAAAGGGTTCCAGGAGCAGACAATTACCTGGAGTGATCTGAGTTTCCAAGTTTTCTGGCTCATCAGTGGTTTTAAAGGATTGTGTTGCACCTTGGGAATCGGTCATGATGTACTTTTAGGTCATGTTTCAGTCACTTTTTAAGATGTGCCCTCTTTCCAGCACCCAAACAGCTCAGGTGAGCAGGTGCTCATTTACCTGGGGAGAGGGCACTGACTGAATATTCCATCAGGCCAATTTTCTGTTTGTGTTCTTTTTGAGTGACACACAGAGCGTTTTATCCTCAGCTGAACTCAGGCTCTTTTCTCTCCTCTGTCAAACTCAGTTATTGGGAACTTCACCCAGCTGATTTCTGTGGTTATTTTCCCCTTTGGGGTTGCTTTTGACACAAATTGACCTGGTGGATGTTTGGACAACTCGTACAGATCACGATGGGCAAGAGGTGGCACAAAGAAGGGGCAGCTCTGGTGGGATGAATGTGAATCTCACACTCCTCTGTATAATCCAAGAACCAAATTCCAACATCAGAGCTGAGGGAAGACTAAAGGGTGTCAAATGGATCTAGTTTAAAGGAGACAGTGACACAGATTCTGCAGTCTGGGAGGCTCAAGGACATCCACAAGCAGCACAGAGCTTCAGACACACATCTGGCTGAACTCCCTTGAGGCAACAAGGTCAGAAGCACAGGAGAGGGGATTTCTGCACTAGGTCAGAAAGCATTTGGTGCCTTGAGAAGACCAAGCACACTGCAAATTCATCTGAGCCACCTGTCACAAAAGCAGCCTGGCTGGAGGTTCAGTGACTCTTCACTGTGCTTGAAATCTGTCCCCTCCTGTGGACACTGGGCTCCTGCCCCTGCAGGCATCAAACCTAAGCTGGTGGCACTGCATGGCCCCACTGGCATGTGCACCAAACCCCTCCATGATTCTGATTCTTTTATGCTGCAGAGAAACTCATTTGTTTTCACAGCAACCAGTTCAGCCACTGCATCAACTTTGTCACATCCCAGTCTCTCAGCTCATCGCCAAGAAACACGTTATAATACACATTATATACATTGTGATGGTGCTTTTTTTGGCAATTCAGGGTGATTCCCCTTTCCTTTGATTCCCCCCCCAGATGCTCAGAAGGACCAGGAGCCTACCTTTCATGGGTGAGCCCTGTGGAGTCGCTGGGACGTGCACCCCCATGCCAGGCCCGCGGCGATAGGGGAAGTTTTCGGGGCTGTATTTCTCACAGAGAACTTGCATGAAACTCCTTCCACTGGGCTGGTCCATCCTCCCTTCTTGGACTTCTGCAGAGAAAACAGAGCATATAACCAGTCAGCAAACCAATAATCACCTCTAGCAGTGGTGCCTGAGAACACAGGAGAGAGAGCAGCCAGATGGGTGACGGGTTTTATTTCTGAAGCACGGATTAGTCTAACAAGTCAAATTCAAATTCAAGATTAAAGTAAAGCATTTCCTGAAAAGAAACCAGAACCAGAGGGCCCAAGCTGCACAAACACACCATCACAAGCCCTCCTTACCCCACATGCCCTCACAGGACAGCTCCAACACGCCCCAGGCTGCCAAAGGCCTCTCCTGCACCTCCCAGGAGGGCTGGGAGGAATCCACAGCCAACCCTCAGACACCCTGCCAGGGCAGCCAGGAGGGGGAAGGAGCAAAACAGCTGTTTGTGGGCAAGAGATTGCTCAGACAACTGTTTACAAAGTCCCCTTTTCTGCTGTGTCACCAAACACTGCCAGGCACATCGTCTGGCCAGACCAAAAGGTGAGTTTTGCCAAATCCATTCTGCAGCTGCCCTAATGCAGCTGGGAGATAACCCTGCCCTTCCTATCTGAACACGACACAGAACAGCACAGGGAAACAGGACCTGGCACAGCACAGGCTGCTGACCTGCCTACAAAGTGGTATCTTCAGTAGAGCAAGCAGCAAGATGACTGAGGCCTGCTATAATTTTTAATTTATACATAAGGTTTCTATATCACAAATAGCAGTTGGAAGGATTGGTCTCACTTTAAAAAAAAACAACAAGCCACACTATTTTTAGCCCTCAACAACTGGGTTGATTCATATCTCAAACTCAATTGATGTCACCAGCCTATCCAGAATCAAAAAAGAAATCCCTGTTAGGAACAAGGCATTTAAATTTAATCTAAAATATTCTACTCAGTACGAGAACAACCTGCACTGACAGCCAAGGCTTTGGGCTGAAAGGCCTCTTTCCACAGTGGTTTGGGAGCTCAGGGCCATCCCATGGACAGGCAGTGCTCTCCAAACACACACTCAGACCTCCTGGTCTGGAAATCCTGGAAGTCCCCTGTGCAGAAAGCTCTCTGCCCTTCACATGGCTTTTCTGTCTGCTTTTCTGTCCTCTCTGTCTGCTGAGCAAATTCCACTCACCTTAACATCCCACCAGAGGCAAAAACTGGTGTTCTCAGCTACAGTGGGAAAGCAATCCTGAGCTGAGAAGTAAAACTAACAACAACAGCTTTGAATCATCAACATTTTCCTCCCCAAGCCTCAGTTTTGCACACCAGAGCCTCTGTCAGACGACAGAAACACCAAGGAGTGCCAGTCACCTTTTCCAGTTCCCTCCTGTGGGGTTTTTACAGTCACTGTAATCAGTGGCTTCCCTGAATCCCTACAATTGTTCCAGAGCCAGGAGCAAAGCAAGGATGACAGGATTGGAGGGAATGCTGTCAACACGAGGGCAGGGGGTGACCTGCGAGGTGCACGTCCCTGAGTGTTCCCCTGCTGACAGCACGGGGAGCCACCCACAGCCCAAAATAACCCCGGGGTTCCTAAACCCAGGAGGAGGAGGAGAATGGCCCCGCAAATGACGCGCTGATGAAATTCCAGGGCCACTCCAGGGCCTGCAGGGCAGATCCCGAGCAGCCACACAACAAACACTGTCCCGACGCGTTCGTACACGGGGGAAAAACAAAGCGCAGGGAATGGAGGGACAACACAAAACACCGGGCTGGAAGGAGCTGGACGGTCCTCCTGCCGAGACACGGCTCAGGGGAGTTATTTTTGATGTGATCTCCAGAGACAGCGAAGCGAATCACAGAACCACGGAGCCCCAGAAGGGGTGGGGTTGGGTTGGGACCACCGGCCCAGCAATTCCCGTGGTGGTGGGGGGTCGTCGCAAATCCCCCCCCGGGGCGAGCTGGGGCGGCCCCTGCCCGTGCTGCCGATGGGGGGGATGAGCGCCCAACACCCCCGGGCAGCCCGCGGGACCCCCCGAGGCCTCCCCCGGGCCCCCCCCGCGCCGCCCTCGCACAGGCCCCTCACAGCCCCGGGCGGCCTCGCCGCTCCCCGCCGGCCCCGCCGCGCTGCCGGGGCGTGCCGGGGCGTGCCGGGGTGTCCCTGTCGCCCCGCTGTCCCCTCCCTGTCCCCCCTCACCCCGTCCCCCTCACCCAGGCCCGGCCGCCTCGTCCCGCATCGACCCGGAAGCAGCTCCAAAACATCACGTGACGCCGCGCGGTGGAGGCGGTCACGTGACCGAGCCGCCAACAACACCCCCCCCGCGCGGTTGCCACGGAAACGGCGACGCTCGTGACGTCATCGGTGTCCCCAAAGTGTCCCCGGGCCAGACGTGGCCGGGAGGGTCAAAGGGAGGGAGGGGGGGGACTTGATCCCGCCGCTCTGCTCAGCCCCGCGGGGCACTGCGCCCGTTCCCGGGCACCTCCTGGTGCCTCGAGGTCCTTAAAATCCTTAAAATGTCATTATATGGGATTTTAGTGCGGCTTTCAGCACCTCACAGCTCGCCACCCCCTCGCGCCGAATCGCTCAGCGTCCTTCTCAAGGAAAGGTCTCGGCGAATACACCCGATTTGTACAGAGAACACCACACACACGCTGCTTGATACAACTTTGGAGTAAACCATCAGAGAGGAGAGAGAGAGCCCCGGGAAAGGCCTGAGGGTGGTCTGGGGGTACAGTTTTAGGGCCATGATGTTAGGTATGATGACGAGCCAGTATTATAAAATTGTCACAGTTATTCTGTGTGCTCGTGCTTAAATGTATTTTATGCCCATTACGGCCTTAATTAAAGACCTGCTCTTAACAAAGTGCCCTGAGAATTTTTCTTTCATTTTAGGCAACACTGGAGCGGGTCCAGCGGAGGGAAACAAGGGAAGTTATTTAAAAATCATTAAAATTATTTTTAAAATAAATAAATGAAATAAAAATCAATAAAATAAAATAAATAAAAATAAAAAATAAAATAAATAAAATTAAAAGAAATAAAATAAATAAAATAAATAAAAATAAAATAAATTAAAATAAAATAAAAATAAATAAAAATAAAATAAATAAAATAAAATAAAATAAATAAAATAAATAAAAATAAAAATAAATAAAAATAAAATAAATAAAAATAAAAATAAAATAAATAAAAATAAAATAAATATAAGTAAATAAAATAATTACAAATAAAATAATGAAATTGAAAAGAATTGGTTTAGGAGCTGGAGCCTCCCTCTGACCAGGATGACATGGTGGGAATGATCAACTGCCTGAAGCAGGGCCTGTCCTCCCTGCCAGAGCAGGGGAGTTTGAGGAGAGCTGCATTAGTCATGGCTGAAGGGCTGCAGGGCATCCACACCCTGTGCCCAGGCTGTAACATCACCGGGACAGCTCGGTCCTGTTACCTCAGCACGGCACAATGGCAGCATTGTGGCTGCTACCCAGGCAGAGGACCAGAAAATGTGTTCAGCAGCAGCCCAGGGGGTGAGGGACGGGCTTAACTCCTGCTCTGCCGTGTGTTCCCCGCCTCAGCTTGGACTGACATCACGGGTTTGCACCCATGGGACACAGACCACTCATGCTGAGCCACGGAGGCAACTCTGGGAGCCCCAGGGTTGGACTGAGGATGGCTCAGCAAACCATTGACCGAGCTGGAGCCATCAGCACATCACCACAGTAGCCCCAGCTGCAAACTTAAAAGCTCTGTTAGGCTTAATCATAGCATGTCACCTAATCAGATGTGCCCCAAGCTGTTGCCACTCCTAAAATTTGGCTCCTCTGTCTCCCATTCCCTGCTTCTCCTTGGAATTGGTGCACAGCAGCTTTTTAAATAAAAAAACCATGGGGCAGGTGTCTTCAGGATATTGCTGGAGAAAGTCTGACTGACTTCCTAACCTTCCTTCCTTCCTTGTTTGCCCTCTAACAGAGGGAAAATCACTTTGGTGTTCTCTCTTTTTACCCTGTTGACTCAATGCAGTGTTTATTTCACTCCTGTGCAGGCCAGCACAGATGAACATTGCCTTGCTAACACTCCTTTAAAAAACTTCCCCCACGTGCTCTCAATGGCTCACTTGGTTCTTTTAATACATTCTGGAGAGAGCTTTGTCTCCATTTGGTTTTCCTTCCTCCCCTACTTCTCGTCTCTGTTTCAGTGAGATAAAGAATTCCATTGCATTCACAGGTCACACTCTTTCCCTGACAATCCTCGTGTTGTTTTTTGCACAGCTCACCTGTGCTGTTTGGTTGCTAGAAGGCAGACAGAGCATACTTTAGCTGGTAACTGGCACCACAGGCCACAGTTGGATTTGCAACACATTTCAGTGGCTGCTTTCTATAGTTACAGATCAAACTGGAGAGAACAGATATCTGTGGAAACCTCCACTGGGTCAGCACTGCAAGTGTGAGAAAGTGCCTGGCCGACTTCAGAGCCCATTTCAACAGAGCTGGACAGGTCAGGGAATTGTTAACACAGTATAGTCTTCCACCTCCGGGGACCAGTTTGAATTCAGGCCCAAACTAACCCAGATTCAATGTGCTTATCACGTTGGCTGCCTCATTGTTCAAGTGAAATAAGTTTGCTGGGGCTCAGTCTCCTCCTCCCTGGCACACAAGTATCCTCTTGCTGAAGCTTTTACCACCCTTGGCCCCTCCCTGGCAGGCTCCCCTTTTTCCCACAGCCCCCTCCCCAGGGTTAAAGAGGTCATGGGAACTGGAATCACCTCTTTTTTTCCCTTGTTTCCTCCCCTGTCTGGTTGTGCAGGGGGTACCAACAGTGATACTCCAGTGCTGGAGCTGCTTCACTGGCATGTCCTTGCTATGTGACAGAACCACCCATTCCAAGCTATTTTCATACTTTCAGAGCTGGGCCTGATTAACCTCAGCAAGAAAAACAACCTCAAAAAAAAAAAACCAAAAAAACCTTCCAGTCTCAATCCTTCCCTCATTGCTCACGTTTCTAATTCACCACTAATTAACGTCACCCACTGTCACAGGGGTCTGAGCAGGCTCATGGGTTTGCACATCCTAAGGCCAGAAGGGAACCAGTGTTACATCCAGAATAAAAGCCACAGACTCCCCTGATTTCACTGTCATTTGGTCTGAAGGCTAAAAAAAACCCGAGCATGTACACCTGAAAAATTACCTGAGATGGAGAATCCAAACAGAGTCTGCGAAAAATCAAACAGTTAATTACTGATTACGCTAATAAAATAAAAAAAGTAATAAAAGCAGGCTTCATTCTAGTCAGAGTGAGGCATCTAAACCCAATTAATTCCCAATCCACACTAACAATGTTCCAAAAGGTCTTGCTGTACCCAGGGCAGGAGTGTCACTGTCACACTTGGGGACAGGGACACACCGAGGTCACCGAATTTCCCTGGCTCACACGCAGAGAGAGTGGCAGCAGCAGAGGAAGGAGCATCTGGGAGACTCTGCTGCTTATCAGAATACTTTTCCCTATATTTAAAACACCAGGGGCTTGAGGGGGAGGGAGAGGATTTAAACCAAGCAATTTTCTACTCTGTTTCTGTAGCTTTTTGATCCTTTCGCTTTCGGGTCCAGCAACCGCAACTTTTCTTCATCCCCGGAGATTATTCTTCAACCCCTCAAAGAGACTTCAATTTTCTCACAAATCTCTCTTTCCCTTCGCTTAATTTAAACATTTATGGCCAATTCCATGATTTAATAATGAGAAATAAAATTGGAGATTTACTAAGTGCTGGGAGACGACCTTTCACTCCGTGTGGGGATTAAGAGGGAGTTAAAGGTGTGAGCCCTGTCAGCCACTCTGGCCTAACCTGAGCCTAATCCTGATGGGTACTGAGCACTCCCTGCTCCCTCCCAAGCAGGGAAGTCCCGTGGGCTCAGAGCACATTGCACATTTGGCCCCATATGACTCAAGCAGACTGTAAATCCCCAGCAGATCTGTCTCAGAGATATTTTGCTAATAACTTTAGAGCCTGACTTCATTTAGCACCCCTGCCAGCCGATCAACTCCAAGCTGTTTCTCCCCACACCATTAATTTAAGGTAACTGTTCACTAAGATCTTTGGTTCCGCACAAGCGCTCCCCAAATCACTTCTTCAGCCTCTGTCAATTATCCCAGACTAATGCACCTTAAAGTTACCTTTCAGAGCAAACATTACTCCACAGTCATAATTCTAAAATATTATCAGTGGCCAAAAAGACTGGGACAATGCAGCTTTCAAACTTCAGAAATTGAAGCTGCTCATTCGGACGCAGAAACCAAAAATAAATCAGTGCCGGTGTCGCTTCAAGATCTATTGGATTTTCCTAATTTGGCAATTGCTGGGCATGTTCATAGGACCAAATGGACCTTGAGCCTTTTATGCAGTTGATTTCATTTTCTGGATGGCTTCTATTAGATAAAGGCAGCTTCCTCAGGTACTGCTGCAATGGGACCGGCCATCGAATTATGCCTGGCAAATCAAATCCCACACACTCGGGGCTGGCTCGCTCCTCTGGCTGCTCTCTCACCCTCTCCATCACAGTGTGGATTCTCTTGGGCACTCACTGCAGGATGCAGCTAAACCTGGTGTGCTTGGGAGACCCCCAAATCCACAGGTGATCTGCTGTGCCAGCTCCTGTCACCCCTCAGTGTGGTATCTCCAGGTGCTCACTGACCCAGCCTGAGCAGCAGGAACAGCAGACCTGGGCATGGATTGTGCTCAGTGCCCTTCTGCAGCCAGCTCTGGATCTGCCCCTGCTGCTCAGCACTGCCTGGCACCCACCTGCTGCCCCATTCCGGACACATCTCATTCTGGACCATGATTCCCATCCTGTTCAGCCAGACAAAAAGGGCACCAGCAGACAGGAATGAGCCCAGACATGGAAATGGCTGTTTCTCCCTCTGCCAAATGCCCTGGATTCGTCACTAGTTGCTGTGATGAGACAGAGAAGTGCCACTGCTGTCTGATTTTGGAATGGGGCTTTGGCTGGGAGAACAGGACAAAACAGAGGGAGAAGCTGCCTCTTCCCATCCTATGTGTGTAACAACTCCATTCCAGGCCTGGAGAACGATGCTGGCTGTGTCTGTGGGCTGCCAGCATCCATAATAATTAACCATTAATGTTAGCAAACACTTGGCAAATCCCCACCCGCTCTCAGAGTCCTTTGCAAACATGAGCAGATTAAACTTTGCCAGGCCCCCTCCAGTCCTACACGTTAATCCAAAGAATTTCCTCCAGTTCTGTTGTCTGACAGAGTATTTAGCAAACATGGGGAGGTTGGGAAGAGCTCAGGTGACCCCCATT